TATGTCTGTAATCAGTGTTACATCTTCTTCTCAAATTCACATGTCCTATGTCTGTCCGCAGGTGTAATTGGGGATAGAAGACTCTGTAATTATCTAGAATGCTGCTCATCAAATATGAGAATTAACAATCCGAATTGACATAACCTCACGCTGGTCTCTTGGAATTGTTATTTGATTCATACATCGTGCTTTATGTGTAGCTTAGAGTCATTGATATCTTATGAAGTTCGTCAACCATAGTGATGTTCCCGACATATCTTGCTGACGATCCCTGTGGATAGGTCGAAAGTCATTGCCACGATAAATGTACTTCTTGCAGACTCGAAAGCACTCTCTATTCGACCGAGCCGAAGTAATTTTTCGCTTTTAATAGTTTTCTGAATGGATTACGGTCGTCACTGAATGTTGGCATTTTCAAAAATTATATTGGGGGCAGTTAGAAAGGTGATCTACGCCCTCTCAGGCTCATTAATATGTTTAGGCGGCAATAGAATCAATAGCCGTTTTCGATACATCGCACTGCGCTTAGCAGGCACAGTGCTGATACGATCTGTTAAGTACTGAGCATCATAGAATTTTCTTTAGAAACTTAGGAGAGACAAGTCCACTTAAGCCCTGTTCAAATTCTGGTTTAAAACCCAATATTCGTACGAGTTGCGTCGCGTTTCGGGGGGGGGGGGGGCTCTACTGAAGAATTTCACCATGTATGTAATTAGGATATCATCTCTTATCTCCTCTTATTAGCAATTCACGAACATCCCGTGATAGGCAGTTCTGTGTCTAGTATCTCGCCAAATTGATACGTCTATGTGTTCGTAATCACACGCTTCGATCTAATCGAGATTTGCAAATTCATTGAATCAATTAATGGTAGCTCAATACATTGCCTGTGTCCACTGAATAAAGTCATGAAATGACCAGGGCGATGTATTATAATAGCTCTGTATACACTTTAAACACAATGAACTCAGTGCTGCGTGTAGAATCCTTTTTGAATATTTTGTGCTTTGGAAAATCCCTCCATGTTTACATATTTTTGTTATGACATGACGGACTTTTTCTGTTGACATTTTTGGTATTTTATTTGATTCCAATTTGAGATTTTATCATTGTATATTGTTATTCTTTCTATATTTTGTACTTATATTGAAGTTTTTGTGTTTGCTTCTGATCTGTATATATGTTGTTTAAATTTGATCTTTAATATGGCTACAGCCATATTTGGATTGATGCAATGGCCTCTGGACTTAGCGTCACTTATCTATTACGGTTTCTGATACTCTTCGGAGTAACTGTATCCTGGAAGAGGCACTATTTCCAGGTAATGCTTTGTATTTCCATGTTTTTATTTAAATAAGACGCTTTCTCCTAGAATTTTTGTCCTTTTTGATTTGGTTGGGACCCGGGACTGGGAGAATCGTACAGGAGTGCCCCTATTGGAACCCATTGGAACGGCCACTGTAGAAATTCATTTACAGTCTGGAAATATCTCTATGAACGTTTATATTCTGGAAATATCTCTATGAACGCTTATATTCTGGAAATATCTCTATGAACGTTTATATTCTGGAATTATCTATTACCCTTTGGTTAGAAGACCAATTGCAGTTGGATTATTAAGAATTATAAAGAAACATTTGGAATTTTAATCGTTTATCACACTGAACTTTCTTCGAAGAAGAATTTTGGATTATTTATCATATTTTCGTATTCGAATTGTATCTTGGAGGAAGAAATTTGGATCCTGGACATTTCTTCTTGAACTGATCTGTGGAATTACTATATTTTGTATTTGTTATTTTTCTTATATTGAACTTCATTTATGATGTCAAGTCGAAAGAAATCAAACATGAGGAGGGTGGAAGAGCTCGACGGATCCCGGAGCGCTAAGCAAGTCGTTAATGATGAATTTTTTATGGGTAACCCATATGTTAACACTGATGTTAGGTCTGATACTTATTATTGTAAGTCACCTCTGGCAGGCATTAAGGAACCAGGATTAAGTGAGAGTTCTAAGGTACCAGAGACCGATCAGATGCTTAGGACACCGATAGTAGGTTTAGAACTACCTAAGGTCGAACTTTCATATTTTGATGGAAAGTCTCGCGACTACTTTAGGTTTATGCGCCAAATCGAAACGTTTATAGAACCCAGAATAAAAGATGACCAAGTTCGTTTATTGTATTTAATTCATTATTGTAAAGGAAGGGCAAAAAATGCGATTGAAGGTTGTATTATTATGGATCCACAAGCAGGATATAAGAGAGCTAAGGCCATTTTAAAACAGCTCTTTGGACAGTCGCATGTAATAGCCCGGGAAACCTTAGAGGACTTATTTAGAACTGGGAATGCAGATTTTAATGATCCTGAGGAATTGACGAATTTGGCTATTAAAATGCAGAATGCTGCTTTAACCTTAGAACAGCTAAATTGCACAACGGAACTTAATTCCTTGGTTACTTTAGAACGAATAGTCAGGCTCTTACCTCGTCGAATGCAAGCCCAGTGGGCAGAGCTGGGAATCAAGTGGGACGAAGAGGAGAGAGAGCCTAATTTCAATGATTTGACGGAATTTATTATGTCTCGCGCTAAGATAGCTAGTAGTGTAGAATTCTTTTTGAATGTTTTGTGTTTTGGAAAATCCCTCCATGTTTACATATTTTTGCTATGACATAATGGACTTTTTCTCTTGACATTTTTGGTATTTTATTTGATTCCGATTTGAGATTTTATCATTGTATATTGTTATTCTTTCTATATTTGTACTTATATTGAGGTTTTTGTGTTTGCTTCTGAACTGTACATATATTGTTTAAATTTGATATAATATGGCGACCGCCACATTTTTGGATGGACGCGGTGGCTGCTGGACTTAGTGTCACTTACTAGCTATTGTACTGGATACTCTACGGAGTAATTTATCCCTGGAAGAAATACAAATACCGTAAGACTCTGTATTTCCATTTTATAATAATAAAGAGACGTTTTCTCCTAGAATTTTGCCCTTTTGATTTGGTCGGGACCCGGAAATAGGAGGAACGTACAGGAGTGTTTCTATTGGAAACAATTAGGACAGCCACCGTCGAAATAAATCTACAAGTAGTAGGTTCGGAAGATTAGCTCATCGGGCT